CTGTTTACATGCATGAAAAGTGTGAATGAGTACGAGTCTGATTGCATTGGTATCGGAGCTGGTACCGGCTATTCCATGCGCGCCGTCGTGTGCAGGGCCTGATGCGCCATAGCAGAGGTGGCCGCTGAGGGGTATACATAGCGGACCTGAGGTTGGAGAAGCCGCCGCGCACCTGCAAAGAAGACCACGACGAAGAAGAAGACCGAGAGAGAGGGAGAGTGAGAGAGAGAGAGAGAGAGATGAGCGATACAAGTTTGGTTGTCACTTACCTGTGAAGCGAGCTGTGCAGTCCCACGTGGAGGAGGAAGAAGCGGCCATATCCGTGGAGCATCATCACGGAGTAGTGAAGGAGGGAGAGAGACAGGATAGAGGGGGAGAGACCGAGAAGGGAGAGAAGGAGGCTATAACCGAGAGGTGAAGAGAGGGCCGATCAAAAAAAAAAAAAAAAAAAAAGAGGAGAAGAAAAAGACAGCCGGGGTGAAAGGAGGCGAGGAAGGTGAAAGGGAAGAGAGAGGGTTGGCGAGGAAGAGAAGCCGGCAGCCATAGCTGATCGTAGGGTTGACCAAGAAGGTTGATCGGAGGTGTTGACCGGCGTTTACCGGAGTTGACCGGGGGTTGACCGCAGCGTTGACCGGCGTTCACCAAGGCATTGACCAAGACTTTGACCAAGCTGGAGTTGGTACCATCTCGCTAAGCCCCCAGCCTATCCCTTGCCCTATGGATATGCACACCCCCCTTGGTACTTGTTGAGTCCAGTGTGCCTGTCTATTCTTTCTGCATTGAGTCTCTTCTGTCCTAGGTGATAGTACTCTGTGAATGAAGGATAGGTTCTTGTGGACCAAACCCACACGGGATGAGTAGGGCTAAAGGCCGTGTCTGACGACTCGACTGTCCCGGAGGTCAAACCCTCCCAAGGACCGGTACTGACCGGCGGGCTGCTCGGTGTGGCACGGTAGGCCTCGAAATCCGAGCTGTGGGCTGCACAACAGACCGTCTAAGTCTTGAGAGACCTGCTGATCGCGTCGTCCTATCTGCGACGTTAAATAATTCCTGAGGAGTTCGGGGGATCTCCTTAAATGCCTCCTGATCAGCAACAGGTCTAGTAGTGACAGCCATAGTTAGGTCTAGGCTAGAGACCATAGTTGGCAGGGTCCGTGTCAGGATTTTGTAAGTCCTTAGATTGAGTCTATAGGTTGCCCAGACAGGGGTCAGCGTCTGCGTGGTGAGGTTTGAAACCACTAATCCGGTTGTACACTTATCACCATGGTTGAAACCCGTAGTGGGTTAGACACTAGCCCCTACACCAAGGAGCAACAAGAAAAGATGGCCACCTTAGTGAAAGAGAACAGGGAGAGGAAAGAGCGCGAGAAGCAGGTGAAGTTGAAGGCTATTGCAGAGGAGCAGGCGGCCAAGATGAAGGAATTGGAGGAGGAGATGGAGAAAAAGAAAAAGGTTGCTAAAGAAGAAGCAGTAGCAGAGGACGAAAAAGAGAGGATGCGTATTGAGAGCAGGGAAGGGAGCAGTGGCACGAAGAGAGATAAAGACGCAGAGATGGAAAAAAAGATTAGTGAGTGGGTTGCTAATTTATCGTTGGGAGAAGATAAGGAGGCACATATGTATGTGCCAGAGGAAGAGAAAGAGGCTTTTGCCATGGCCCTCGAAGTGATTGAGGACCCCCTTGAACGTCAAGAGGCCGAGGAGGAGAAGAGACTGGAATGGAAACTAAGGATGAAAAGGGAGAAGAAGAGGAGAAGGGAGGAAGCCAACTGGTTGACCGCAGAGGTGGAAAAGGTGCGGGCGTGTAGACAGGAAGTCCAGGCGCAGGCAGATGTTTCTGCCAAGATGGACAACGGATACTTAGAGGTGTTGAGTGAGGCCTTGCTAGAGGAACGACACGCCAATCAGGGCCAAGATATCACCCTGAAAGCCATGCGGTCAGGTTTTAGAGAGTTTGCGCGCGAGATCATCACCCACATTGGGGGCGAAGTCAGGCAACTGAGGGACAATGTAGGGAAGTTTTGTGAGGGCGCTATCGAGAGCGCCAAAGCAGTTGCCTCGGTAGATAGTGAGGCTAGACCCCGTAAAGAGTCTGTAAAGCTCAAGTTTCCAGACGCATAGGGGGGGAAGAAGGAGGAGAACTTTGACAACTGGGAGGCCAGTGTCAACGATTACATTTATTTGCAGCATATCCTAACAGAGGAGCAAGTCCTCGTGGCCTTCCAGGCCCTCAAAGATGAAGCGGCTAGTTTCGCTAGGTCCCTTGCGCGCGCAACTGGTTGTGAGAACAACCTGGTTGCATACTCCAAAGTCACCCCCCTTCCTCAATTCCTCAAGCTCTTGAAGGAGCGGTATGCAGACCCAACGAGAGGCGTTCGCGCCTCTGATAAGCTGCAAACAATCCACTCACGACAGTGGAGGAGTGCCAAGGCACTCAAGGGTACCATGGACGACTTGGTAGCCGTCCCGAACCATGGGGTCACTGAGCCCCAATTGGTTCAGTTATTTTATCGTGCCATGCCGAAGGCCCTACGTGGGCATTTCTTTGACAAGTCTCAACAGACCGACATCACTTCTGATGCATTGAGTAGAGAAGTCGTCCTGTATGAGTCGAGGTCCATGCCAGTTACCACCTTCTGGCATAAGGACCTGGATAAGGGAAAAGGTGGAAGGGTCATACCATCTCAGGCCAGGTGAGGGCCAAGGATCACATGATCCTTACTTTGGAGGAAGGTGGTACTGATGAGGTCCCATATAGTCACAGATCGAGTGGGGCCTAGTGGAAGAGGACAGTAGTGTGGGACAGGGGAGGTCTTATGCTGCTGTCGCGGCTGGAGGGAGGCCGCAAGGTAGGGGAGGAGGCCGAGGACCGGGTGCACAGGGGGTTGGCGGACAGGGAAACCGCCAAGGGGGAGGTAGGGGTCAAGGTCCCCCGCCAAATCGCCAGGGTAATCGGTCCCCATAGAGACGAGGTGGAAGGGCACCTCAAGGAGGATGGCATCCCGGCTTGCCACAGGGCAGGCCCTGGGAAGACTTGGGCTTGGACCAGGGGTTATGACAGGAACGCGTGAACCTGGGTCAGTGCGTGTTTGTGGTGACCCGGCTCACGTTATTAAATTTTGTCCTAAGTATAGACAGGCCCGTTGGGCTGCCCAGCAGTCAAAAGGCAGCCGCCAGTAGGGATCGCAACTGCCCCTACTCTAAGGCCATGTGGAGAAGTGAGCTCGCACGAACAGGACATTCCCAAACCACATGAGCCTATGGCAGAGGTTGCAGGCCCGTGCCTAGCTAGCTGTCCAGAGACCGCCTATGTTAGCGTCTCTTTAGGCACGTCCCTCACAGGTGTGGCAGAAGAGTTAAAGGAGAGGATGCCAGCCTGGGCCAAAATGAAGAAGGAGAGTAAAGGACAGCTTATCTTGGTAGACGTAGAGGTGTTTAGAAGCAGAGTAGGGGCCCTTATAAACTCAGGGGCCACCCGCAGTTATATTAACCGTAGGGCGCTGAAGAAGCTGAGGCTAGGATTGAAAGTCCAAAAGTTAGCAGACCCTATAGTCAGTGTCCTCGCAGACAACCGCACGATGCGAGTTGAGGACTACGTAGAGGGAGTCCAGGCGTATTTTCGCCTAGAGAAAGACGGGAAGGTGGAGAAAGTTCTCCATTCCCTGACTCTCCTCGTACAGGATGACCTTCCTTTCGATGTAGTATTGGGAATGGATTGGGGAGAGGCAGCAGGAGCCACACTCCACTTGAGAGAGCATGAGTGTAGGCTCCCTAGTCCGTCAGGCGAGGCTAAGACTGCCCGCTTGTTCCATGTGTCTGGTGTAGACAATACCTTGGCACATTGCTGTCTCAGTGCTCGCGCGTTTGCGCAATTAGTGAAGAAGGAGCGATTAGAGGAACAGGTCTTTGTAGTTTATGTTAGACCTGCCACTGAGGCTAAGGAAGAAGTGAGTTCCACAGATCCAACCATAGCCAAGCTGCTGGAAGAGTTCAAAGACTTAACTGAGTCGCCGAGAGGAGTASTGTCGCGACCCATCCAGCACAGGATAGAGATAGAGCCTGGCAGTAGAACTCCTAAGGGTGCAGTCTACAGGATGTCCCCTAGAGAGTTAGAGGAGCTGCGCAAGCAGTTAGACGAGCTCCTAGAGAGAGGTTGGATCAGGCCCTGTTCATCTCCTTTTGGAACACTAGTTTTGTTCGTCCCCAACAAGAAAGGAAAGCTTAGAATGTGTATAGACTATAGGGGTTTGAATGCTATCACAGTGAAGAATGTTGAGCCACTGCCCAGGATAGATGATCTCTTAGATCGGGTGCAGGGTTGCAAGTATTTTTCTAAGATAGATCTGAAGTCCGGTTATCATCAGATAGAAGTCCATTCTGATGATCAGTACAAGACTGCATTCCGGACTCGTTATGCGCACTATGAGTTTATAGTGATGCCCTTCGGACTGACCAACGCACCAGCCACCTTTCAGCGTTGTATGAATGATTTGTTCAGACCATGGTTAGATAAGTTTGTAGTAGTTTATTTAGATAATATCTTAGTTTTTAGTAAGATGCTCCACGAGCACCAGGGTCATCTGAGGCAGGTCTTGGAGAAGCTACGAGAGGCTAACTTCAAGATCAACGCAAAGAAGTGCGAGTGGGCCAAGACACAAGTCCTGTACTTGGGCCACGTGTTGGACGGAGATGGCATTAAGCCAAAGGACAGTAAGATAGCGGCAATTAGAGATTGGCCGACGCCCCGCACACTGACAGAGTTGCGGTCGTTCCTAGGCTTAGGTAACTACTATAGAAAGTTCGTCAGGAACTTTTCTACTATCGCCGCTCCCCTGCGCAGGTTGCTTAAGAAAGAGGCAATCTGGCAATGGGACAAAGATTGTACGTCTGCGCTAAAGAGACTGAAGCGCGCGTTAATAGAGTACCCTATCTCAAAGTAGCGGATCCGTCCTTGCCATTTGTCGTCACCACGAACGCAAGTCAGTATGGAATAGGCGCCGTGTTGCAGCAGGATGACGGGAATGGCTATAGACCCGTAGAGTTCATGTCCTCGAGGATGCCCTCAGAGAAGGTAGCCACCTCGACGTACGAGAGAGAACTCTACGCTCTCAGGCAGACTCTAGACCACTGGAAGCATTACCTGCTTGGGAGGCACTTCAAAGTGTATTCTGACCACGAGACCCTTAGATGGTTAAAGACTCAGGCCAAGATGACACCTAAGTTGACTAGGTGGGCCGCAGAGATAGACCAATATGACTTTGAGCTTAAGCCAGTGAAGGGCAAGTACAACGTAGTTGCGGACGCTCTGAGTAGAAGATCAGATTACTTTGGAGCCATAGTACACTATCTGGATATAGGGAGAGACCTGCAGGAGAAAGTGAAGCAAGCGTATGCGTAGGACCCTATCTATAGCGACCTCCTAAAGACAGTAAGAGAGGCCCCAGAGACTGAGCCAGATTACCGCACTACAGATGGGTTGCTGTTTGAGAAGACTAACGTATTTGACCGCCTGTGCATCCCCAACAGCGAAGAGATCCGCAACTTGATCCTGGGGGAATGCCACGATACTGAGGGGCATTTTGGTTGGCAAAAGACACTAGCTAATCTAATGCGCGCGTACACTTGGCCAGGAATGAAGAATGACTGCATAGAGTATGTCCGCAGTTGCAAAGTATGCCAGCGTAATAAGACTACTACACGCGCACCCCTTGGTCTTCTCAGACCCTTGCCTATTCCGGATCAGCCGGGAGACTCGGTGTCCATAGACTTCATGGACACCCAAGTCAAGAGCAGACATGGTAAGAGCCAAGTCATGGTCATAGTTGACCGATTTAGTAAGTACGCAGTTTTTGTTCCTTTGCCTGCAGAGGCACGTACAGACTTAGTTGTACAGAAGTTYTTTGACTTTTGGGTTAGTGAGAATGGAATCCCATTGTCAATTGTTAGTGATAGAGATAGTCGCTTCACCAGCCAGAACTGGCAAGAACTTATGAGAGTCTACGGATCTAAGTTGTTAATGCCGTCCAGCCGCCATCCAGAGACCAACGGTCAGACATAACAGATGAACAAGATCCTACAGCAAGTTCTGCGTATGTACATTAGACCAAATTAGAACAACTGGGATGAGATGTTGCCTAAGGTAGCTAGTGCATACAACAACAGCGTGCATCTATCCACCTGCCGCACTCCCAATGAGCTGCACAAGTCCTTTAGACCGTGCAGACCGTTCGAAGGACTGAGCCGGGATCAGATTCACAGACTACCGCCCGGTACCAGGGAGTTTGCGATACAACACGAGAAAGAATTAACAACTGTTGTTGAGAACCTGAGGAAGGCTCAGCATAGAATAATAGAACAGGCTAATAAGCACCGTCGCCCATCACAGTTTCAAGTAGGCGACTTAGTCTGGGCCAAATCTAAAGAGTTTGCACCTGAGGAAAACGTCTCACAGAAGTTACTGCCTGCATATAGAGGACCGTGGCCAGTTCTAGAAGTCAAGGGCGGAGAGGATGGACCGTCCTACACAATAGAAATTCCAGCACACCTCCACACGCACCCTATGTTTCATGCTTCAAAGCTGTTGCCATGTGTCACAAGTCAACAGTTCCCTTCAAGAAGATCCATGATCCCTCCGGATATGGATGGGAGTTATGACATTGACGGCATTGTAGATGAGGATGTGTTCAGAACAGGAGGTAGAGGTCGTCCCCAGAAACAGTATAAGGTCCGGTTTGCTTATCAGGAGCCGGAAGACGACCGCTGGTTTACAAGAACAGAACTTCTAAAGGCAAAGGTCCTGCCTTGGACTGAAATATTCTCGGAGGACCTCGAATTTAAGACGGCGGGAGTGAAACGGTTTTCAACTTTTAGCAGTAGCAGATGCAGTACCCAGGGTTCGATCCCTAGACCTCATCCTACCCATGTACAGTATCTGTGTAAACCCCGAGAGTTGAACCTGTGACCTGTGTATTCGTAGACAGGTGGTAGGTCTGTCGTAGGTCCGTTGGTAGTAGGGGTTCGATCTGTCGACCTATAGAGTAGAAGTCTTAGTGGGCAAGTGGTGGACTAAACTGCAAGTGGCGAGGCAAGTGGTGGACTAAACTGCAGTGCAATCGCAGTACGACCTCGGTAGGATAGCAGCGAGTCCACAGTCAGTCAGCGGTAAGGTCCAGTCAGTCCCAGTTCGGTCCAGCAAGTACCACGGGGGACTGTGAGCACCATGGGCCGATGGCAAAGGGCAGACCAACGAGTTT